AATCGCTGCACCTTAGATGACTGGGTCACCCGTGCCCCCGACACCTTTATGATGATGCTGGGGGCCAATAAACTGCATAACATAATACTACCTTAAAAAGAGATCATAAACGATGAACAATAACAATGACCAGATTCCATCTTTTGGAAAACGACATAAATTCACCAGATCCGTCGACGACACTCACAGAGTCCACTTGAGGAATTATGATAATGACAACATGTACCTTGTTATTACATGTATCGACATATCACATTAAGCCATAAGCTGGAACCACCACACACAATGTATTTACAGAACTTGCTTCTATCTACAGTCGTGAGTGAAGTGTAATGGTGAACAGAGTCATTGAGAATCAATATTTTCCATGGGAACATCTTCACATTATCTGTGTGAAGGGAGTGGGTTGTATGTCTAGCATATTTACATGTTGAGAAAAATGAAACTGGAGTGTATTCAATGGCATACAGTTTCACAACATGAAAGAAAAGATCATCGGTGAATTTCAGGAGAGAACCAAAGTTTACATTGTTACTATCTTTGCTCCTATTTTATACTTTGGTATGACTTATAAAATTATAGGTAGTAGGAGAAATTATGACTATTAAATCCCTTTTAGCTGATCAACTGCAGATTTTAAAGTTGGTCTGATTTCTTCGTCTACCCTTAAATAAGACACTTTCTCTCAACTCTGTTATTATCAATGATAATCTGGGTTTTTTTCTCTTTAAGTCTGGTTTTGTTTTAGCATAGATAAACTATTGATTAAAAAGAAATTAAAATGTGACAATAATTCTGATACATTTCCTAGAAAATACTGTAGAAGTATGATAACAAAATTGCAAATCAAATGAAATTTGCCTCAGTATTTCTCAACATATGATCTACATATATCACTGTTATCGCCATGGTTACCAATCACAAACTAGCTATTGAAATATCACATACTATAACAACATTATTGAAAATCATGGAATAGAGTTGGAAACTCATTTGGTACACACATATTGATATTTTTATATACCTTAACCAAACCATCACTTAGTCGTAAAACATGCCTGAGACTTACTTTCCCTTGTCAAAACTTGTTCATGATTTCATGAAAGCACTTTTGCACATATGCAAAGCAAGTGCATAAATTAATTATTCATTCTTATATTTCTTGTGATGCTAAACTGCAACAAACACACAAACCATACTAAAATAATTCAATCAATCATTCAACATACACCATTCTTCAGTTGTAATAGCTTACACCGCTAAAAATACCAGGTACTACTAACTTGGCACCGCCATATAGCTGGAATATTGCTGAGTGCGGCATTAAACAAGAAACAAACAAACTTGGCTAATATTTGAAATGTTTTCCAGGAATAATAATTTTGGATGTTTCCTTTAAATTTAACAAAAATCAAATTTAAGACGTGATGTATTCAACTGTCAAGTATGTTTATTCGAGTATCAAATATGAGTGATAAGTCTAACAAATAGGGAAGCCTTCCTCCCTTCAGAAGTATATCAAACCTTCTCTGTGTTTTTAGCTTTCCTGCCAAGGTGAATTTGTTTGATAAGAACAAGCTTTTACAGACATCATGAATAACTGAGGTAATATTTGGGAGGCATATAATACCATACAATCACTCACTCACTCTCATAGTATTTAAGAAGATATAAAAATGGATTTTCATATACTTTCCTTATTTCTAATGTTATGAACAATCTAAGAGCAAATCATTTTTTTCCTCATAGAGTTGGCCTGAACAATGACATTACAGTGTGTCCCATGACATGGGACCTGATTAATAATGCACTATTCTGTACAGCTTTTGTCATGACAACCAGCTTCCTGATGATTTATTTACATGTGAAATTTGAATCCGTGTTTTCAACATAATTGACATCCCCTTTCCCTGTTTCCTTTCTTTCTCACTATGTTGCTGATCTTGAATTTTCTAAAACAGAAATCTTGAATGTTTAACAGAAATATAACCACATTATGATTGTTGAACATTAAAAAAATACTGCATAATACAAACAAATTTGAATTTTAATAAATAAAGTTACCATGTTTGCATCATAATTCACTTATCTGAGAGAGCTTGTGGCATAAAACATAACTTGGGACCCATAAAACCACATGTACTTGAGAGACACTGCTACAACTCATAGGACCGTTCATAACAACACTCCCAGTTAAGCCCCCCCAGAATACTTGTTTCAGGTAACCCAACTAACCCATTGTTCCTCTTGTGACCCACATGTTCTTAGTACAGTTGGACACGCTCTCAAGAAAGCAATATTTTACATTCGGATCAAAAACAGATGCTTCTCTTTATCATTGTTGCTGCAGCTAGTTTGACCAACAAATTCGAGAAACATTGCAACTAACATCAGTAATATGCAAGCCATTGCGTCTAAGATTATTATTATAAAAGTATAAAAGAAACCCTCTACCTACTGACCCAAATGTGTTGGGTTTATGTTTCCTTAAACCTGTGCTAGGTATGAAGTTTTTTTCAAGCATATCCACAGGGCAATGACAAAGATGTTTAATCGTGAATTTGGGATCGGAATGTGCCAGACAGAAGAATAATTTGTGAAAAAATGAAACAGGTTATTCCAAATTCTGTTCATTGAGCATTTTCATATGTTCATTGTGTTTGTCCAGTTTACTTTTTTAAAGTAAATTTATCACTGGCTTTGCATAATGAAAACTGTCACACGGTACTTTAGGAAACACAAATTGTTTTTTTGCCTTACCAATTTTCATGAAACTGTCATAAATATTAATTCAGACCCAAAATAACTCTACAATTTCCATTACTCTTTTCTGAAGTGTTATCCATCTTACACTTTTCTCTTAACCTAATTCTTTACACATATTTGTCTTACGTGCATTTTTACATAAGAGTGAGTGAGTTTAAATATTACATCTTAATGTCAATATCCCAGCCATTTCTTACACTATGAAAACAGTCAAGTGACAAAACGTAAACCAATGCCATCCTGGGTGATACATTCCACAGACAGCAGACAAAGTAGGTCAAGAAAGTTATAGACAGCTTAGTGTCTCATCACCTCAACTGTTCTCATTTACCTGAGACCCACCTCAAGCTGCCTACTTCATCAAATAAACATAATCTCTCAGGAGCTCAGGATGTTGATGAGATTGCTAGTAACGGCTGCCATGACTACGGCAAGGACGGAGTGGAGCTGGTGAGGGGAATCCCCATCCTGGTGACTGAGGTCGTTGACCTAGGGTGAAATGCAATACCTTGGCCATATATTGTAAGCTAGGGTGGATATGTTCCATGTGAATGAGTGATTTTTGTTTTACACCACTTTGAACAGTATTTCAGTTATACCACGGCCTGTCAGCTTGATTTGGGAGAAAAGCCAAAATTAATGCAGACCTTAGACATTTGACAACCCACAAGCATGGGTGCTGATAAACCAACAAACATGATCAGGGAAATCTGAGTTTCGAACCCATGTTCTTTGTGACAAAACTACTCGGAGAGTAAGGTACAATATATACGCCAAAGCCCCAGTCTCCCTGTTTGGCTGGTCTACATTCAAGTACAGGGTGAATTATTCACACCCTACAACACCACCATCAGCAAACCTTTTAAAACTCACGCTCACGGGAAGAACACTGTTCAATGCATGTATGAAAGAATATGAAAATAGTTATTTGAAGTTCATGATGCTGAGGACAGGATAAGAAGTTTATGTTCAAGAGAGTGAGTGAGTATCGTTTTACGCCGCTTTTAGCAATATTCACGCAATATCACGGCGGGGGACACCAGAAATGGGCTTCACACATTGTGCCCATGTCGGGATTCGAACCCGGGTCTTCGGCGTGACGAGGGAACGCTTTAACCACGAGGCTACCCGACCGCCCCCTTAATGTTCAAGAAAAGTCCTTTACATTTGACAATGTTTCTGCAAAATAAATTGATACAGAGACTGGCATACTTGTTATTTGCAATAATGGTATCAATTCACAAACCAAATGTGCAATTGACATATACTTATTGTTTTGCTTATAGCCATTGAAATTAGGAGAGGTAACTATCCAAATCTCCATAAACAATAAATACCCTCTTGTCCTAATAGTATGTCACAACACAGTGCCTACTTGTTCATGTAGTTTCTTGAAAGATTTGAACATTTTCTATTTACAGATGCATATGATTTCTTCAACTGAAGCAATATTTTTGTACATATTGTGATGCCAAGGAACCTTTTGTCACAATATTAGACATTTCTCCAAGGACACAATGTAGAGAAACTTCATCACAAAATTCAAATACACACATGGCAGAAAAATAGACTGTATTACAATTGAACTTATAATTAGTTTGTAAAGACCTACGTATTGTGTTCCCTTCAACAAGGAAAGGAAGTCTTGCACTATGCTAAATAGAGATCTTGTGAAATAACATATTTTCCTGTATCTAAATTTAAATGGGAACAATCTATAAATAAACAACAATCATCAAACATTGCTAACAGAGAAGAAGCTAATAAATGACTGGTCTTTACATTATTCCAGTCACTGACAGTCACTTTATACCAATCAATATTGATCATATTTATACACTTGCATATTAGAAATACTGTATCATGAATAATGTTAAAAGAATGTTAGGGGCCTGTACTAATATAAGGGTAACGCTATTTTTCAGGGCATTATCATTTGCAGAAGCCCGAGGTCTTCTATTAACTGCCCAACGAAGGAGGGAAGTTGAAAAGACCGAGGGCTTCTGCAAATGATAATGCCCTGAAAAATAGCGTTACCGTTATTATAGCTAAAATGGATGGAATTTGCTATCAAATAAAAAAAAACTGACAATATCGGTTTTGATACATTTACTGCAATCAACACGAATGTCACTGACCTACTTTTACAAATATGGAAACGTCATCGAACAAACCAGATGACGTCACTATTCAACGTGACGTCACCTATCCCTATCCTATGACGTCACCTAACAACGGGCGTGATAATGGCCCGTCGTCAAGCAATATGAGGGCATTATCAAGTTACAGTGGCCCGCTCATTTCTGATAACATGCGGGCGGTTTAATGATAATTCTATCCATTTTAGCTATAATTACAGTTATGGAGTGTCCTCATAGGCTAACACCATCTAGGATAGGAGTCTAAGTTTTATTATTTTGATCCAAAGTATGTGAAATGATACTGAAAAAGACTACTGTATCTGACCATAGATAAGCCAACGACGGATCATGACGAGACGTAGTTTTAGGTTGGGAGTCAGGCTTATCTACCTCACAAAACATTTTGGTACAGATTTCAAGGGCCAAGTTAATACCTCGACTTATGAGATCGACTTATCTACAGTCATATACGGTAAACCCAAATATTTGACATTTGCTGTTAAGGTCTCTCTTCAATACAAAATGATAATTTATAAAGAAGTGTAGATCATGATACATCTGTCACAAATCAATACATTGTACTGATAACCTGTAGCGTGCTCACTGTGCCTGTATATGTTTGTAACAGTCTGAAGACTCTGGCCCTAATGGACATCGACATCAGGGGACCTGTAACAACCGGACTGCATTTTAAAGGGAATACTGAACTCTTCATAGAACACTTGCAGTGTTAAAACATTGCATTGGTCTTCCACATATGAAAAATATCTAATGGTCACAGGATTTCAAAAATGAGCATGACAGTCAAGGCAGGGTAGTTGCAACCAGGATTCTAAACTAAGTACCCTTGGCAGGCAAACTAGGAAAAAGTCCTCATTTTTTCAAAATTGGGATTATTGTTTGCATTTTTCTCAGGTTAGGAGGTATTTCAACATTGTACTCAATGTAAGTGTAAAACACATCACTAACATCACGACAGCCTTTTTGATCCTCTTTATCAGTCCTGTTATCAGTAAAATACAAGTCACCTCTCCGAAGCCATGACACCGGGGAATTGGGAAATTTATAATTCTAGTTTGGGAATTTCTACTGACATTGGGTGCAGACTTGGGGCCGAATTTCGACCTCTGTCAGGTCCAAATAGATCCCTGTAAAACCAATATTTGAGGCACCCTGGATTCCAATACTTGAGCAGCAAACGTCTTTGAATCCAGGACCCTCTATGATTCCACTGGTCCTGATCCTCCACTCAAAGGTTACCCTGGGGATCAACACTTGAATTACCCTTTAAATAGGTATCAAAGAATATGCATGGAAAAGATATATTCATTCAAAACTAATCATTCCATATCACGCCCCTTTAAAATAAACTTTTACATCCAGCCCATGTAATATTGAATGATTTCCATTCCACAATAAAATAACCACAATTTCAAAAGTTAAACATGCAGCAATGAATGATCTCAAATCCAAGCTGGTTCTGTGTGAGTTGCTGACATACACACATGTATTGTGTTTTTCTGTTGAATTCTCTGCAGGATATCCCATCCGAATTGGCTATACTGTAGAGCACTGATATATGTTGACCTCTGAATAACATGTTCTACTTCCCTCATCCCACACATACTTCAGCTACTATGGTTACCAGTATGCATTTCCTTTTTAGACTTTGGAAGGTTGAACTTTGGTAACTCAAACATATACATAGACTGTATCACTGAATACCAAGCAATACAAAGAATTTGATATAGATACATATCAGCAGAAACCTCTCAAAACAAAGCATCAAAACAAGATTGAAATGTAATGTAAGTTAATTCTGTGTACTCATTCCAATATTTGATGATGGTGTATACTGGAGAAAATTGGCCAACACAAATTAAGCATGAAAGTCAAGCGGGTCCTTCTCAAAGCCCTAATGTTAAAGGTTAACAACATTGGGGTCCCTAAATTCAAACACAATGGGTGCAAACCTCAAGGACCCCATACCCCTAACATCAAACATTTATTTGATCTTGCTTCAAGGGAAAAGTTTAAAAAAAAGGGGAAAAAAATTGAAATATCAAAGACACCACTAGGTCACTTAGTTGTTGTGTGTTGTTTCACCGTGTTCACAGAGATGTCTTCAAACGTTTTTGAAGTTGGCTTTAACCTTATAAATAGTAAAATACCTGAAGTTAAGGATCACTTACCCAAACAACAATTTCATCTTAAACCTAATTTCAGTAGAAATGGTCTTGTAAAATGTAAAATCGCCTCATGAAATATGAAGACTGTTGATGCTGTAACCACCAATAGACAATCTGGTTAACATGTGCACAGTTCCATGAAGATCACTTGAACAGTTTCTCAGTTAGAATCCAGAACGAAAAGGTAACACACATATTCACAGGACAGATATACTTTGATTATATTTCCTGGGCTAAGTTCATTATGGTAAGCAAAAATCAGGGCTAAATCTTCATCATACACCAAACCACATACTATGCTGTATTTGAAATTAAGTCTGATAGCCATAGGTCTTCTAGTTTTAGCCCTAATGTTAAAAGTTAAAGGTTTAGGGGTATCCAAGATCAAAAACCAGTCCACAAGAACCTAAAGCCCCTCTTAGTCTCCAACACTGCTATGTCCAGTGTTTGAAATTACAAATGAAGTTTTACATGTTAACATGTAGGCAATTCCTCGGGCTCTAAAACCCTATCCAAAATCATCATGGACATCCTCAATTTCAAATACAGCATGTTTGTAATACGAGAATACTGAGTGCTTCAAAATCTAATGTACATTCCTTTGAGCAGTGGGGATAAAATCTAAACAACATTGCTCTGGCCTTATCTAAGTATGGTTGATTAGACCTCATTAAACAAAATTACATAATTGCATCGTATCATTCCATACTTGGGAGAGGAATGACAGACAAGAAAAAAGTGAACTAAATAGTTCTGCAAATACATATTTTTTGTAGATGTTATCAAGATGTTATCAGATCCTGGGATATAAATACATATACCAGGGATATATCTAGGGTTTCAAACTTAGTGCCCTAATGCAGGCAAATTGGAATAAAAAATGAATTTTGTGCAAACTTGGGAAGTTTTTAAGAGTCCTCATGTTCATAAAACGTCAAAGGAATTACAACATTGTATCCATTAAAATAATGTCTCTTCCTTTTTACTGGTCCTGTTATCAGTGATATAAAATCACCTCTACAAAGTGATAATACTAGTAATAACTATTAATAAAAAGCTAAATTCCAAGATGGGAATATTTACTGCCATTTGCTGCAGACTTAGAACCGAATATCGGCCTTCAGCAGGTCCAGATAAATCCCTGTATACATAACACAAGATTTCCTTTTCATTTCTGATTAAAAAGGTGGACGTCAGCTTAGAGCTGAAAATGATAATCCTTTTAGAATTAATAGTTTTTCTCGAAGGCAGTATGTGCCAAAACAAAGATCACTTGCCCAATCATGTATCCTTTTCAGTAGAATTTAGGGTGACAGTTATTAATTAGCATTGATTACTGGTGAGACCGACACAGAATATCTTTTAATTTACAAAGCCAAATATTTACCAAGAGAGAGCCGATGGCACGAGTTAACCACATAGATAAGGCCATCGCAGAATCACAACAAGTATGTAACAGGATATCCAGCATGTCACTGAATGTCAAACAACATCCTCCATAATTAATCATCTTAATTGCACAGAATCCCTACACTCTTCAGCATCAACTGCAAAATATTGGTTATCTAAACATGCTAAACAACAACAAAACAAATCTGCATTAGCTGCAACTGACGAAACCATATTGATAGTCCTTATCAAATCTCAATGCTATAATCGAATCAAGTGAAAAGATAAAACAAATATAAATATGATCTATACGAGTAGTGTATGTCTGTTATGGTCTGTAGTAAAATATCAAATTAATTTTGTATCTATTTTGCATCATGAACTATCAGATGAAAACATCATTATCTTAACAAACAGTTTCAATTTTGTAAATCCTATTCCTAATCATATAAATGTTGATATCATTGACATATAAAGATGGTGATCCCCATTAGCAATATTTCATGTAGTCGGAAAAGAAATGGTCAATAAATACTTGTTTTTCACAGCATTTTCTTGAAAAACTAACTTGAAAGTAATATGTAATTAGATTAACAACAGTAACAAATATGGAGAGATGACAAAGTTGTGTCTTTCCAAAATAAACCACACATCCATGAGTCTTAAGATGAACTGACATGACACACAGGAGGAATAAGATTTAGCTTCCTTTTATCCATTGAAAATCTAGACCTTGTGGGTGAATAAGCCATGTTCTTTCTTCATCCCACAATCTAAACCTCCTCTCTCACTCCAACTCCTGACAGTGTCCACCTACTACAAAAGCTCTTGAATATTTGGGTGACAACCACAAATGGCATTCTGAGATGTTTTTTCACCATTTTATGCCATTTTCATAAGAATTGTCCACATCCAACTTGATCCCAGTATTTCAACATTCATCAGCTGTACAGCACTGTCACTGTATAACACATGCTTGTGAGTTAGATCCATGGCTACCAGCAGCTTTCGCAAAACATATCGCCTGCATCCAATCATTTTGTTCACTTTCATTTTCTGCTTGCATGTAATATGTGCGTCCATTTTCCTTGCTCTTAATGCGAAAAGCATATTGTTTTTTATCCACATTTGCTTCTGATAAGTCAGCGTTGGTTAAAGGAATTTTCTTTTTCAAACTGGACTCCTGAAAGAAAGCAAAGCACAACATAATACTTAAAATGATAACATATTATTGATGGTCAGACAGTGGTAGTTGAAATTGTACTGAGACATTTATTAGGACATGTGGAATGTATAGTGTGATCTGGCTAGTTGCAGACAAACCATGGAGTGTTGGGATAGAGCAAACCAGTGGTTCCTCGGTACCATACAAACCAGTGGTTCTTCAGGACCACACACACCATGGAGTGTTGAGATAGAGCAACCCAGTGGTTCCTCAGGACCATACAAATTAGTGGTTCCTCAGGACTAGACAAACCATGCTTGTTGAGGTAGAGCAGAACAGGGGTTCCTCAGTATCACACAAACCATGGATTGTTGGGATAGAGGAAACCAGTGGTTCCTCAGGACTAGACAAACCATGGTTGTTGAGGTAGAGCAAAACAGGGGTTCCTCCGGACCACACAACCCATGATTGTTGAGATAGAACGATCAGGTGATTCCTCAGTACCACACAAACCATGGCTTGTTGAGATAGAATAAACCACTGGTTCCTCAGGACCAGACAAACCATGATTGTTGAGGTAGAGCAAAACAGTGGTTCCTCAGGACCAGACAAACCATGGCTTGTTGGGATAGAACAAACCACTTGTTCCTTAGGACCACACAAACCATGATCATCAAGATCAGTAAATGAAGTGAGTGTATGTCAATAATATTTCAGCTATATTTCCTTGGAAACGATGGTGTGACTTTACTTCATGCACAAATCAAGGGAACCTGGTTATTTGTTTATTTGTTGTTTAATGCCGCAATATTCCAGCTATATGATGGCTGTCTGTAAATACTCAAGTCTCGACCAGATAATCCAGTGATTGACATCATGAGCATCGATTTAAGCAATTGGGATATAATGACATGCATCAACCAAGTCAGCAAGTCTGACCACCTGATCCAATTAGTCACCTCTTAAGGGAAGCATAGTCACTTCTTACGGCAAGCATGGGTTGCTGAAGACAAATTCTATCCCGGATCTTCACGGGTAATATGTAACAATATGTCAATGTACTAGGCAATTTCAGTCTGTTTATTTTAAATCTTTAGGTCATTATCTATTCATTGTTTTTTCACCTGTTATTCAACCTGAATTCAATTAAACAAAATGATGCCATGACAACTCAGTGATCTGAGTCAGATCATGTTATAAAGGGATCACTCTTGCATCAAAATGTTTGCCAATTCCTAACATGGAATTAGGTGAGTAATGATACTGGCAATTAACATCATTTCCATCTATCAGTCTGATCTTTTCTTTTGCATCATCAATGACAAACATTAAAAGGACATTTTGATGAGTTTATCAACCTTTGATGTGACATTCTTCTTCATCATTATCAAATTTGAAACATATCTTCAGGACATTTCGGATATCAATCAGTCAATGCAGCGTTTGAAACAAAAAGTTTTCGTTAACTAGTCCTTATTATGATAACATATAGCAAAACCCTTAAAATGGGCAAATTTCTACTAGTCCTTATGATCCTTAACTATTGGGCAGTTTGGCAAGGACTATAGGACGAGTGCCAATATCTTCCGCTGGTCAAGGTCCTAGAAAAATCATCAGATCTGAAACCCTACATCAGTAAACGTTAGTCTCACGAAATAAGTGTTAACCATAATAGCTATTTATGTATAAGCTTTGTAGAAAAGACTTTGGCTACTCGAAATGTAGCTTGAACTGGAAAGAATGGCTGGGACGGGTCCAAATTTACTACCTGGGTACCCGTACGGGTAGGTTTAGTCCGGTGGTTCACCCCGGTGCTACTCAGGACCCACCCGACCAAAGTACCCGAGTTACCCGTCCCAGCCCTAATGGAAAGACACATGACACTTACAAATTATTGAAACTTGTTGAGGTATGTTACACACTAGAGAACAGGGAATGCAAATGTAAGATGTAAACAATTTCACAAATACTGTGTGCTCTACTGAATCGCATTGGTAAAATTTAAAATAACATTGTAAATTTGTAGGTTTGACTTCCACATTAAACCTAATACAACTTGCCGTAAATACAAAAGACATTTTTAAGAGTCTGTATTTTAAGTTATGTTCGCATTTTATATTGTTAGTGTTTTCACATTTCATTCTGTGTGTTTTTCGAAAGAGATGGGTTGTTTGACAGTAAAATAAACAAAACATCTGTTGAAAAACAAACACTAATGATAACAAAACGTATGAAATTAAATTTTTAAAATTCTTTGACAATCAATTAAATAAAAGGCTCATATGAAATCAATCATTATAGATCATTACATGGAAACACACAACGAAATTGTGAATAGATTTGTAACATTTGTGTAAACAAAAACTCAAAATGTAACATTATTAAACGAATACGCTTCGACCAACTATTTTATTAACATCTACAAGGGTTGATTAGATACTACTCTTAACCAATATAACTAACATCTCATTTGAGAACGTTACGAGCAACTACAAATACATAAATGACCAGATTACGGGCTAGACGTGAGAGCCAGCCAACAGCGTTTCATGGACAACCATGACAACGTTGACAGAGCTTCACGCTTGGCTACTCTCTACTGTCAAACTGTCAAACATGTTGACTCTCAACAAACTTCCGTAACAACAACTTACTTTTACCAGTCATGAATCACTGATTTTTGTCAATTTACCATGTAAAGGTTGTTGCAAATATTGCGAAACATATTACAGTCTAGAACGAATCAAAAACGAACTTTACCTCGGATGTGTTGCCATAATATAGGTCACAGTTTTTAAGCTGGAACCACTGTTTTTTCCATTTGCGGGACAACCGACCCCTCTTTAAAAGCCAGCCTTTGAGTTCATTGTGAGTAAAGTCATTGTCAGGCTGACTTTCGGATCTATTTGATAAACTATTCGTGTGACTATCAGACACAGTATCCGAGTTGGAGGCCATCGCAATGGATGACGCACTTGACATTGACAAGTAATGTTTTCCTAACGGCAGTTCATGTCGAGAAACCGTTCTTTTGAACCGTCTGTTGGATCGAGCACGCCGCGAATCCACAGGACTCGTGATGTAGATTTCATCAAACGTTACGACATGTCCTAGCATTTGATATATAGCCAGGTATGACACGTTTTGAATAATTCAACAATATAAACACAAACTAATCACGAGTTTGATCCGTCGTGATTTAAAAGAAAAGAATTAGCTTGTTAAATAGATCTACCAACCAACAAACAAAACAAACACTCGATGGGACTTATTGTGTTTAATTGTTTTTGAAGTATTAATATAGTTTTCATTTGTTAAAGGTGAGTGATAAAAAAACGGTTTGCATTTTCTAAACTGAATTTATGTTCAAAATATTTCCAACAATTTCGTGGAAGATCTTTTGTTTAACTTTACTTTAAAAGAAGCAACAAACAAGTTTATATCTGTGTGTATAGAAACCAACAAACTGATTATTTACATGAAACCATATTATCAATATACCTTTACATATTTGTAACCATTTTAGTTTCTTGTATATGATTTAAGTCATCATTAAAACGATCCATATACGGAATGTGAAAGCAGTCATGCTTACCTCAGCATGACAATAAACCAGTATGAATATTTGCTCATATGCAGCTTGCGGTGTTTTGATAAGTGTGCTTGTTTGTGTTATACACGTGGTTGTAAATTGCAGTGTTGTTTGTAGGTTGTAAATTGCAGTGTTGTAGGTTGTAAATTGCAGTGCTGCAGGTTGTAAATTGCACCTGGTTCTCATTTAATCCTATAAAGCAGCGACATGTATTGGCCACTGTCGGTTTACTATTGGGTACTTCCTTAAAAAGTGGTGAAGATTAACCTTCTATAAATTCTATGAATCACATGTGATACTGGGCTGTGTACGTTGCATTCGCATAGGATTTTTATCCCACCTGTGTTAAGGCAGCAAGTCTTTCATATAGTTTGTTGTAGTTCTAATTAAAACCGTGCGCTAGCGCGTGTTACTTTTATATGTCTAGTTTATTTCATATACATGTACTAGTATTAAATCTGTGATATTTCTTATATTACCCTCTTGCTATATGTTTGAAATGAATGTATAATTTGTTTTATATATTGCTGAGACATTGCCCAAGCCTGTGAATGTAATATGTAACACATACTCGTTTCATTGTATCACGCAATATAGACATACGACAGTGAAGTGCCTTGATTCGTATGCCTCCAGTTTTCGACGGTCACACCCATTTTGTCAGATACCCAGTTATACAGGATTATATATTGTTTTCTTTTCTGTCCGTATAGATTTAACAAATGAATCATTTGATTCCGAAATCATATTTAATTTGTAAGTTCTCACCCCAGCTTCTTACGAAAATATTGAGTTTACCTTTTTACATATTTTTACTCAATTGTGCATTAATTGTGAATTTGTCACAAACACGGCAGGTTTGCAGAAAATAGACTTCGTTTCATTGCATGAGTACGCCCCAGGTACACTTTCAACATCAACTCTGCAGCAAGAACAAGTCTGGATGAATCTACCAAAAGTGGCAATACTGCATGGCACACGCTTTCATCCGAAATTGAGTAAATAGATTTATTTGTTTGGGGATAATTATTGTAACCTTTGTTAATCAACGTACATAAAAAAAATCTAAGCAGCGACGTTTGCAAGATTTTTAATAATAAATACACGCGAAGAACATAAGAAAAACAATATGAAATGTCAGTACCACATGAATCTTAATTGGTTAGAATTAATCTCAGATTTAGCTCTGCTGTAGGTTGAAGTCGGGTTATTTGCTAATATAGAGCTTGATAATATACCCAGTGCCAAAGGGCGCACCAAGGTGAATACGTTACAATTTTTATGATGTACAGATTTCAAGTTTTGCTTCACAAAAATAAAATAAAATGTGTTGAAAGCAAAACGAACTTTGAAATAATAACAACCAATATGTAAAGCGGAACCAGCGTGATTTTTTTGTATGATTTGATATATCCTATTGATGGGTTGAAACACATGCAGGAGTGAACATCCTATTTCATAAAGAGAAGATAATAGCATGTTTTAGTCAGTGACAAGTTTTAGAAATCATATTCTCATGAGGTGACAAATGGGGCATGATCGGGGCTAATCCATCTTATCAATTTGGTAACAAGAATCCGATAATGGGAGAACTCAACCGTGACGGGGGCACGGGTGGCCCAGTCGTCTAGGGCGCCGCGATTCGCTGTGCAGAGTTGCGTCCCTTGGGCACGCCAGAAAACTATGTTTGTGGGTTCGAATCCCGGTTCGCCCCGATTATGTTTCTAGGTTTGTCTGCACCATACCCGTGCTCGTGGGTTTCACCGAAGTGGTAAACGTCTGAGACCTGCATCGATTCGGGCTTTCCTCCCACATTAAACTGACACGCCGTGATATAACTGGAATACTGTTAAAAGCGGCGATAAGCCCAACTCACTCACTCAACCGTGGCATTGTGATTTGAAGGTATCTGACAAATGGGGTATCTGACATAGGGGACACTTGTCATGGTCAGAAAGAAATGATGCTAGCAGGGTCTCTATGTCTATGCATGCATGTAGGATATAACACACGACAGAGAGTAGAGGTATATAGAGCGCGAGTGCGAGTGCGTGCGCGTGTGCGTGTGCGTGTGCGTGTGCGTGTGCGTACATGGTTTGTCGTAAAATATGTTCTCATCCTTCTCAGCACACAACCCGTCTTTAAACCCGTGAACAATATATTTTATCCCGGCGTACCATTTTAAATCCTAATCGGGTAATCAAATATTCGAACCTTGGCATCCTGGCACGGCTAAGGGACACAAGTCTGTTCCGCGAATGACAGCACGTGATAGACCCCTGGACACCCGTTTTAATATACATGGTGTGCATTTTGATATGCATATATAGATATCCTATTGCTACAGATTTCACCGTCGATGTAAACATCTTATTAACTTTATCCCAGAATGTGTCAGTTCATGTGTGATATTCGAATCGCTCAGTATCTCTTTTGTAAATAAAAAAAGTGAATCGCGGAATTTCAGTGAAACAAATAACGACATGGACTCGAGATGTGGTAATATATAAATACAACTCCGTCAACGGGTATGTATATACATTATATCCCAATACACATCCATTAAAGGTAATATGTCCATCAACGATTTAGTGCATACACATCTGTCGACACTACGTACATAATATACACAACTGTGTATCTCATAGTACATACACGTTGCAATATGCATTGTACATTAACATTTATTAAAGAGAAAGGGAGAAAAATATTTTATTCACGTGTCTACACATTAAAACCATCATAAAAACATATCACATTGTTATACGACGCCAGGCCAGCTAGGGCCTATCAGAAACCAGCTACCCTTAAACGGTCAATAACAATAGAAGCACTAATAGTGCTAAGATAATACAAATACCCTTTCTGAACAGAGAGAGTATAGGCAGGGAGTGCTAGCTACACAAAAAGCAGGAGTGAACATTATTTTTTATAGAGTCTACGCTTAAACATATTTTTATTCAGGGGTTGACAAATCCTCGCACTGCTTTAGATATTTCATTTGGTCTAGAGGTCTGAAATTTTGATTCAAAGACGAAGCATATATGATGATGATCTGATCATTTGACCTGAATGTCGTATTTGTTACCCTGAATATTTTAATTTATCTCAAATATATATAACTCATAATTTTCTAAACGCTTAGGTATTTCTGACTTACTGGTGCTTTTTTTTTAGAGCATCCTCCTAAGCACCACGTAAACATAAGAAACATCACAACCAACGTGGATGTTTTATCACACGGTTCCTGACTGTTCAGGCGATGTTTTGGAATCGATTATTTCACTTCATATTCCTGGGCACAGACTCGAGGGAGTGAGGGAGTGAGGGAGTCTAATGTAACGCCTCTTTGAACATCATTTCAGTTATAGTACATATATGCAGCATGTTGGCTTGATGTTGGAGGAAAGCCCGAGGTGATGCAGGTCTTTGACGTTTACCACTTTGGTGAAACCCACGAACACTGTATGCTGACAAACCTAGAAACATAATCTAGGTAAAAACAAAGAAGTCAGTGTCGCACCACATGACCATGTAACTATTATTCTGTACCAACAAACTCGCAGATGAGGTCCCGTCTGCGAGTCTGTTAGCATAGAATATTAGTCACATTGTCCTATGGTTGCATATACAGACATGCCCATTGTTGATGTCGGTGTCATTTCAGTGACTGACAAAGGGGGGTAACTCTTTCGAGAAAGCCATCAGAACTTGTCTCAAATTATGTTGTAGCGTTAAAACATGGTTGCAGTCAATAATTGTGATTTTCACATTGATTTCATGACAATATTATCATCATTGTTATACGTGTACATCTACGAATACCCCATTCTCCACGGAATAGTGCAGTTTACTTTCATGATCAATGCCAATCTATTTCGTTCTGCGTGAGTGAGTGAGTGGCTGAGGGAGGGTGGGAACGAGTGACGGTTGGAGCAAAGTAGTCAGCTTTGATACCATTCTGCAGTTTCATATAGATTCCCCGCTCAGACACAGTCTACTGACTTTGAGTCGACCAGTCCTTTTATCCCTTTAATGCCGAGTGCCAGGCAGAGTGACAACAAGTACCATTTTTAACATCTTTTGGACGCTGACAGGTATCACACTAACCCTTTACTTTCCAGAAAGTAGCTCTATCTATTAGACCATGGTGTTTGCCTATGATCATGAGGGTAAGGTACTTGGCATAATCACTGCCACAGGGTCTACCCAAGCCGGAGGTACCTCTTTATCTTATATCCTTTGTTATGTCAAGTCTCAGGCTGTAATGTCCGGCAAGTACTTTCTCGAAAATATCTAGTTGGCAAATTTTAAAATATCCGGTTTGCTCTTTTATCCCTTTAATGCCGAGTGCTAGGCAGAGTGACAACAAGTACCATTTTTAACATCTTTTGGACGCTGACAGGTATCACACTAACCCTTTACTTTCCAGAAAGAAGCTCTATCTATTAGACCATGGTGTTTGCCTATGATCATGAGGGTAAGGTACTTGGCATAATCACTGCCACAGGGTCTACCCAAGCCTGAGGTCAAAAGGCGACATGTATTATAGTGCAGGTTGCTCGTGTGACCCAATACTTATATGTTTTAAATATGTGATTTAATTTATAATTCGTTTATATGTTAAATGTCTCTCATAACCCTGAATGGGTGGCCATGTTTTATCTTGTGGTGTTATGTATTTTGTGACCATGGGTGAGACAAAAATAAACAATTTTTCTTCTTCTTCTTCTTCTTCTTCTTCTTCTGTATTAGGATCACACAAGGGCAGGGGTGATTCTTAGCAAATTGGCCATTCTGGGGCTTATTAGGACAGAGTAGTCTGTCATACATGAGACCCTGAAACAAATATATCCAATACAGCCCATGCAAGTCTATAATGTTTGGCAAGTCTAGATTACTGCAGTATCAGGAAAATGAAGAAAGTCTCTGGGCTCCTTTTTATTATATTTCATAACTATAATTTAACAACTGTTTTTCTGTAAAATATGTTCATTTCAGAGACTAGATGTTAGTCTAGGAGCAAAGCAACTACGGAAGTTGCATCCAAACTTTAGAAAACCAACAACGAATACGTTCTAAACATATCTAGGAAATAGTATTTCAACGTTGTTTTTTATCTTATGTTGTATATATAATGGACCGTACGCGCGAATTGCAAGTACTGTTCTTTAAGAAGCATATAATTCAGTCATTGGAAACAAAAAATGTAAGTATTTCAAAAGTTCGTCCGATCGTAGCACGACAACTCTTGTACGTCCATGTTTAAGTAAGTGAGTTTTGCGCTGCGACGCCAGGAAGTCTCGTTTCGCAAAGCATGAATATATAACTTGATTTAGTCACGATATGGCTGAAATATTGCCGATGTGACTTAAAATTTAACTCACTCACTCACTCACTCACTCGTTTCGCAAAGGCTAACTCCTTCCTTTAACACAGACTTACGCTATAACATGGCTTTGTGAAAAAGGGCGCTGGGCCTATAGGTATTATATGCATGGAAGTCATGACTTACATACATGCATTAAACACAACACACCCATGCATCCATTGTGCCTGTATAATGACTGGTGAAGATCCTATACTCGAGAGGGAGAGTTGGGTTTAACGCCGCTTTTAACAGTATTCAAATCATGGGAGAAAAGCCAAAAGTAATGCACATCTTAAGACGTGTACCACTTTGGTGAAACCTACGAGCATGGGTATGGTGCTGACAAACCTAGAAACAGGATCGGGTCTAATTGGGATTCGAAACCACAATCAAAGGTGCCTTGCGGTCCCAAGGGACGCAACCCTGCATAGCGAATTGCGGCACCTTAGACGACTGGGGCGCCCTTGCCCCCCTTAAAGACGTTGCCCGAACTGAAACAATACGAGAATGTGGATGAATTGAACATAATTATGTCACCTCATCATATACCTGGAAATCAACATGGCTCCCCAGAATAAATACTAAACATGATTCACTGGCCTCATCATAGACCATTGCAATAACTTTAAATATATAGTTCTTGTGTGACTGACATTTAATCTCTGAACTGAACATATTTTCAATATATATTTGGTTATTGTCTGTAACTATATAAGACAAGCAGCAGATAGAATATCTTCGTTTTCAGAAATATGAAAAAATGGAAAAGTATAGCGTAGAATTGCTTAGAAATTCTCTGATACTTTGGTTTCAGGGTTTATATGAGAGACGAACTATAAGTATATTATAACCAATGAATAAGCTATTACCTGTTGAGTAGATTAGATTTGAAATGTTTACACATCAATAATCAAGGTTAGATTGACTATATCCCCGCGTTTCGCACAGTGTATACCCATTTAGGGAATTGAATCGGATCTCCGTCGTGACTAAAGAATGCCTTTAAAAGTAATAGGAAGAGTCTCCTAATCCTGCATGGCCACCGTGTTTTGGGGAGGGACTTCGGTTTATCCACTCTTTGTAAAGTGAACTTGGGGTTGCGTGACACAATGCAATACGCCTGATTGACGTGTACCAAATAGTAAAAGTGATTTTTTTTTTCATTTGCGTCACATTCAGGTCACCTCTATAAACTCTCGATATATAACTTGAATAACGACACATTCGATACCGAAATGGGATTGCCCATGCAAGTCTATGAAGTTGGGCAAGTCTAGATTACTGAAATTGAAGCGAGTCTCTGGGCTCCTTTTTATTATATTTTTATGAAGATAATTGAACAACTGTTTTTTTCTGTACGATATGTTCATTTCAGTGACTAGATGTAAGTCTAGTGGGACCCGTGTAAGATCCGGGGTAGAATAGGTCTTCAGCAACCCATGCTTGCCGTAAAAGGTGACTATGATTGTCGTAAGAGGCGACGAAAAGAATCGGGCGGTCAGGCTCACTGACTTGGTTGATGCATGTCATCGATCCCAATAGCGAGGATCGATGCTCATGATGTCAATCACTGGATTGTCTGGTCCAGACTTGATTATTTACAGACCGCCGTCATATAGCTGCAATATTGCTGAGTGCGGCGTTAAACAACAAACAAACAAACCTCTGTGTCATCAGTTCCTGTGCAGTATTGTCACCTGAACAGCGCTAAACCTGTACAGTTTCAATACGGCGTGCGGCGTTAAACAACAAATTGTAATTGTAAATTGTAATTACTCGAGCCTGGACCAGACAAACCAGTGATATTATTAACAACTATTCACGCCGTGGGCGTACGATGACACGCATTCAACCAAGGAACCGAGTTTGACTACCCGGCAATCACATAGGTTGCGGGGTACCTATTCTAACCTGAAATGGAGTCCTCACAGGATTTTCGGTTCATAAACATAAATAATACCCTCTAAGTTAGTCAAAGTACACTTAGATACACTTGTATTTCAAACGATACCAATAACGGCACAAATGTCTTAAAATAGACAACATTTAGACTTTAACTATAAAAAAATATATATTTATGAACATTGATAATGTCATCTATCAACAGTGTCATGAAGCTTAATCGTGCGTACTTATTTCCATCCTCATTATGCGCTGACATACACTTCAACTCGGAGTGTAATGATGTCACCGACCAGCAACAGCACCGAGACAACTTCGACAAGTTTAAATGCAACTAGTTGTCTTACTAATGGTATATGTCTATACCGAAATTGGTTCTGTTGTTTGTCGTAAAAAAGGAGTTGCCGTTCCAGACGTGTTTAGAAAAGATCTTTTGCTTCTAAGAGTACGTCATAGCCACATGTTGAAAATATACAAGACACTTTTTATTGGTCGTCCGTTTTGGAGCGTGGGCGGGGACTTTGACAACATCGTCGTAAGGCAGTCTGGCGGGTAAGGTTGGGGAAAGTAAATCACCTGTCACTTGTATTGGTCTCGACCATATTACGCCTGAGCGAGGTCGACTCGGATCTGAGTAGTTCTCCATTACTGCTACAAACCTCGACAACATCAGAAGCACGCGGAGGTTAATTAATTTAAATTCACGGATGTTACAAGAGGAACACGCCGTTGTGTGTCAGTGACACCAAATCGCCACCGCTCTCAAGCAAGCGGTGTAGAGGAGCTTAGCTGTGCCATTGAGCAGGTCCATTTCTCTGTAACAGGTGATAAGAGGGACACTCTCGCATATGGCATCATGTCCGAGTCGCTCTCAAATGATTTACCTAAGAAGTTTTCATTTTGGATGCAAATTGGACTTACTCGAGAACAGATTAATGTGGAAGGCGAACTGTCTTTAGCTGGCTTAAAGGAAGCGGCGTGTTCTTTCGTGGACCGAAAGGTAGGTCAAGTCACTTGGTGACATTTTCGTGTACACTTGGGCACGCCCTGTGCGTTACTATATTTTGACAACAATAGTCATCATATCGTGAGAAGTAAACACGCTGAGTAAGGGTGGATGCACGTTTTAACTTCCTGTGCCACTTTTCAAGGCACGATCTCAGTACTATTACATAAGATCTACATGGAATTGCGGACTTCATAGGTCAACGCATTCAAATCGTGTTTAGTCGCGAAAACATGTTTCTTAGTACTAATACCCTGTGCTCTTTTGAAAGATGACGACTTTTATCAAGTGTCGAACATGAAATCTTTTCATATGTGAACGTATTTACCTTCTCCGTTCCAGCATTTCTCAGTATCTCATCAAATAAGTCAGTGAACTTCCCTCAATTTGTTAAATCAAATCTTTACAACAAAAATAGATAGGAAGACAATTTTACTACTAATTATTATGTTGTCATTTGAGACTTAAACATGTGTATTATGACTTTATAAGTGTATATAGTGTGACTAAGATGTCCTGTTTCTAATTGTGTGCATGTATGGATGTGAAGATGACAGCCATGTTTATGTATTATTTCAGTTAAATATGACGTCAATAGCTTTACTTTCACAAATACTTATTTAAAGTTTTGCCATTTGATGATGAAAATAAACTTTGTAGTTATTAAATAGTCACATCAAAGGATCTGGGTTTTTTTTGGAATTGTACTACATGGAATATACCATACTGATCAGTGATCATATGTTGAAACATTGTGTAATGTTGATGATTTTCATGATAGTGTTGTCAAAAGAAGATTAACAATTTGCAACAGATGTTGTTAAATAGTGGTCAATTGTTATGCCATTTACAACATTACGACAAAGTAGTCATTGTTAGTGGTGATATGGTGTTTATTCACTGTTGGACATATAGTGATGTTATATATAGAGCATATTTCATGTGTCAAGTGAAATGTGATTTTTCTCTCATCTCGCCACAAGTGAAAATATCTCCATTTCCCTGTCACGAGATGAGAGAAACATAATACATGTATTTTACGAGACACATTTATTTATCCTATTTATTATATACTTTTTGTGTAGTTGTCAACCGGAAAATTAAATTATATCATAACAAATGTTTAACCTTGAAATGTACATTCTCCTTCGCATTTGTAATTAAAAAGGAGTTTCGTGTTTGCAAAATCTTAAAAAATGGCGCTTTCCGAAATGAACAGTCTCGATCGATGAGTTAAATGAGAAATTTACAGTTTATGACGAAACATTTTCAAGAGGATAACAAATGTCAGGGAGCGATATTATCTCCATAAATGACCATCTGTCATTATGTTGCTTTGTCAATGTGGAACTAACTTAAGAAGGAAGTCAACAGTTTGTGTACAGGCCAGACTTACAATAAAGGGAGACAACTTGAGGGAGGTTACTCTTGTAATACAATAATTCCGTCAAAGGGTTATGTTCACAGCAGTGAAATATCAAATGTTATGTTCACAGCAGTGAAATATCAAGTGTTCTGTCCACTGCAATGAAAATATAACTTTTCTCATCTTTGGAAAACTCAGTCTTTAACATTGAAGTATATAATAAAATATGCCAGACAACACTTGACCCAGATATTTATAAATAATATTTTCATAATTTGATTGAACTCCTATGATACATGATCTTTCTGCAAATGTTATTAACCTTTCTGTAACAAACTCAATACAGCTGCTATATACTACTAAAAAAGTTAAAGAACACACCCAATTCTTTCAAATTACTATAAATTATAATAAATCTGTCATGGCATGACAGATTAACAGTAGTAATATGAATGAGTCGAGTCTTTAACTTCTTTTGAGTAGTATATAATAAAGTAGTTAGAGACTATTTCAACCATCATTGATTGCATTCGTATTTCCAGATTGAGTCACTGAATTGCTTTTAGCATAATTTAATGATGGGATATTCACATTAGTAAACTATATCACAATGGTGAATAAATCTTTGGATCTTAATATAAACACTTTCACATCCCTCTTGCTGGTTATGATCCTGGGTCCGTTTGCACTAGGGCTGGGACGGGTAACTCGGGTACCCGGGTCGGGTGGGTACTGAGTAGGACCCGGGTACCCACAGGACTACCCGGACCCGTGGTTAGTCATGTGATATATTGTCTAATGACTAAAACTATCTGGGACTGTATGGTCACTCTACAAGTCATTAATGTTCGCTTTTCTTTCTGACTATACACCCATTTCTTCTGACTTTTCATATGGTTGAAATAACCATAATTTAAGTCAACTTCAGTGTATGCATGACCAGATTGTTTAATACATGTATCTAAATACGTTTTGTCATGGCTATGCTAAAAAAGTTCCCAATCGGACATTTTGAAACATCTCCTGAGATCTGGAGTGGGTACCTGAGTAGGGTAGGGTTATAGGGGGCGGGTACCTGGGTAGTAAATTTGGACTCGTCCCAGCCCTAGTCTGCACCTTACCCTAGTGGTTTAACTAGAGTGGTAATCAGCGTTCCCGTTTACCGGTAATTACCAGTTTTTTACCGTTAAAATTTGGCTTGGACTGGTATAATTCATGTGACTGCCAGTCCTTGTGGACCGGCGAATAAAGTACCTTATAAATTTCTGTTGTTGAATAAAACATCGGCGATAAGTATATTTTTCGAATGAAGTCAGCTCGTCTGTTGGCTTCAGGGTTTCCACTTGTCTTTTTTAGTGCAAGGAAATAACATTTTGCTTTGGTTCGAGGTTAAATATATATTTGTAGCGACTTAATTAGTCTTGAAATATGAAAAAAAGAGAAAATAGTGACTGAACTTTGTGTGAATGACCTGTAGATTTACTAAGTTACTTCAGAGATGATGTCATGTTGAATGAATTAAAACCAGGTAATTTTAATACGTGTTTTAATTGTTAAAAGTTTGGACTGACAGAAATTAGGAGGGGACTGGTAATGTTTAGTGTTACCAGTCCACCAGGACTGGCAGTTTCAAAAGCCAGCGGGAACACTGGTAATGCCAAGGACCTGCATCACTATGGGCTCTCTTTCACATTCAGCTGACTTGCTGGGATACAACTGAAATAGTGCTCATATCAGGACTTATAGACAAACTCACTCACTCACTCTAGCCCCCCAAGTGATCCTGTTTAGCTGTTATGACCAGCACTGGGGTGTAGGGGACCCTTTTAGCCTTGGTTTTCACGAAGTAAGGCATGCAGCAGGAAGAATGTAGTGAATTTCAGCTTGTATTGTATTTTTTAGCTACTTCATTTTGACCTTTGAGTTTGTGTTCATTGTTTAACTCCACACTCGGCAGTATTCCAGGTATATGACAGTGGACTGTACATCATCAGGTCTGGAGCAGACAATCCTATGATTGATATTATGGGCAATGATGTTGTTGGGGTGCATTGACATGACATAGGGGTGCATTGACATGCCATCGGGGTGCATTGACATGCAATTGGGGGGCATTGACATGCCATTGGGGTACATTGACACGCCATTAGGGTACATTGACATACCATTGGGGTGCATTGACACACCATTGGGGTGCATTGACACACCATTGGGGTGCATTGACACACCATTGGGGTGCATTGACATGCCATTGGGGTGCATTGACACACCATTGGGGTGCATTGACACACCATTGGGGTGCATTGACATGCCATTGGGGTGCATTGACACACCATTGGGGTGCATTGACACACCATTGGGGTGCATTGACATGCCATTGGGGTGCATTGACATGCCATTGGGGTGCATTGACACACCATTGGGGTGCATTGACACGCCATTGGGGTGCATTGACATGCCATTGGGGTGCATTGACATGCCATTGGGGTGCATTGACACACCATTGGGGTGCATTGACACACCATTGGGGTACATTGACACACCATTGGGGTTCATTGACACACCATTGGGGCGCATAGACATGCCATCAACAAAGTCATTGAGTCTGACCACTTGATCCATTTAGTCAACTCTTATGGCCAGCATAGGTTGCTAGCGATCAATTCTAACCATGAATCCCCACGGGTTTGTTCCAAATATAGTCACCTCTTACAACTGATACTGGTGTGCTGGTGACACTTTCTACCATGTGTTCCCATTGGGCTTGACCTTTGACTCATGTACACAAAGTGCAGTATGCACTGCGCTGCTGCAGCTTTGCTGATGTCCAGGTATATGAGACCACCTCCATGGTCTAGTGGTAGGGTGTCCGACAGGAGAGTGGAAGGTCTGGGGTTCGATGCCCAGCCACGTCATAAAAGACGTGAAAAGATGGTACAAGGACTGGTTGGTCAGTATACTGTGTCTGAGTGGGGTATTCATGTCAGACTGTGGTATGGTGTCTGAACACACACACCACACCACACCACACCACACCACACAGACAAAAGGTATGATGAGATGACATGTTTATTCCTCCACATTGTCATATATTTTTTCAGCAGTTCAGGCAATGTTGTTTTGGTTTTAACAGCTTACTACGATTCTATGTACAAATGGGGGGCACAGGTGACTCAGTTGTCTAAGGTGCTGCCGTTCACTGGACACCTCACTCACTCACTACAATGTCTTAGTTGCCCGGAGTGAGGTGTTTACACTGTGATCGAGGCAGCTTGTTAGAGGACTGACACACATCTATCTACAATTATGATAAAGATCGGATTCATTATTAAAATCCCCAGCAACCAATGCTGGTCGTAAGAGGTGATTTAATTAATTAAGTATTCAGTGACCATGGTGACTGGTTTGTTTGCATGTCATCATGCCCTTGTCAATGTTGGAGATTGCTCACAGTATCAACCACTGGTTTGTCTGGCCAAGATTCAATCATTTACAGAACAAGCTGTCACCATATAGCTTGAATACTGCTAGTGCAACTGACTGCAAATTGAAACAAAAGAAATTGATCAGCTAAATCAAGCTGGTATCTGTATACATGTACAAAGAATCACCATGCCCATCTCAACAC